ACCTATATAACTGCTAACATTCAAAGAAATTAAAATATTTAACAATGTGTTATAAATACAGTAAATATGTTAAAGTGAACCACATAAATAACATTGACAGTATTCGTAACCTGTATGGCTATTGGCTGTATGTTAACTAATTTCGTGTTATTTGCTTAATAAGATAATAGATTCAATAATATTATTATGCTAACGTCATTGTTAACAAATGTCATGTTTTCTTTTGTCCGAAATCTATAATAGTTGATTGACTGACATTTGGTTATAAATTTTGATAAACTATATAATTAACCATGGACAGTATTATTTTTTGAAAGAGTTGAATAAGCATTTATCCTCGCTGAATCTAATGAATATTTGATCATATTAATAGAAAACCTCAATCAATACTTTGCCAAAAGGGTGGTGACTGGTGGCAGTGGTTAAAGTAATAATTATTATAAATCGTGAAAATAATCATCCGGTTCCGGATCGTAATCTGTTCGAATACAATAAAGGGACTGACCGAGTTGACTGTCCGCCTATTCGGTTATAAAATACACACACACAAGCCCCCCGTGGAATGAGGTCTTTCTCTTTATGCCCTTCTCTTTTGTTAAACGCACATAGTACGTTAAATTGTATTCGTTAAAGAGGTAATACGATTTGTTTCGAGGTACTATTTTTTGACCATCGAAATATGTTTATCAATTTATTTATTTTTAATGTCTAGTCACACGTTAATGAGATCTACAGAGGACAGAGTACAGTTGTATATAAAATAGTTTATTGAAATTCGGTTGGACTTTAACGTATAATTGTATAAATAATATAACTTAACATAGAAAAATAGGTTCCTAATAATATTCCGCATTACATTAATATATTATTATTATTGTAGTTTATACTCTATATGTACTTTATTGATTCAAGATTATTCTAAGGGTATTATAGAATCTATAATACCCTTAGAATAATGTGTTCAATATTTATGATCATTTTTTTTTGGAAATTGATGTTCAATTTAATATTGTTTTAGTGTTTACATAATGACAGTATTATTTCAATATTATATTTTTAACCTTAGGCAAAAGTAGATGATATAAAAAGTATTATTTTTACAAGAGTTGTTTATTTTTAATAAAAAAAAAAATGGTTAAGTTGTAAAATTTCTCTTTCAAACATATTTTATTTCATACATACATACATTATACAATGACGATATTCCGTAAGAGTTTTGAACTTATAGGTACTCATGATTTCATAAATGTAAGTTCCTACATGTTTCAGTTCAGTCTATGTGTTGTCTGTATTTTTTTCATGTAAACAAGGCTACAATACATTGTAATTTAGTATTTTTAGTTTATTTTGAACAAGGTATCAAGCATTAGCTTTGAATAAACTTTATAATTTGTATGTTTACCTAATTATGAGAATATATTTAAAATTAATTTTAACTTTAAAGACAGAATTTTTTTTATTTTATTTAAGTACTGTACTCAAACAAATTAATTATTTTTTTTCCCTTTTTTTTTTATCATAGACGAGTTATTTTGAATTGGATCTTAAGTTGGTTAATAATTGTATTATTACTAAAAAATGTATGTTGTTATCTGTGACGAATGCTCACTAGAACTTGTAACACGGTCTAATAGAAAAAAATCATATAACTGAGTAACAAACTAACTTAACTTAAATTATAAGTTAGTTGTTTTTAAAATTAATTTTAATCTAGTATGGGGAATGTAAACTATCATTACTCTAATTTGTATGAATTTGAATGGTGACATAGAGGGCATAATATTAACTTATGGAAATTAAACACACAATCGAATACTGGCCTAAACCTCGATCATTCAATGGCAAAAATGAAGTTATAACCAACAGCCGACAGGCTGTGAATAGAGCAAACTAAGATGTCAAATGGCCATCTTAGGAGAAGAAAAGAACCAGTATTCCACCAAACACGTGGCAAACCTATAACAATAAAACACCTACTTGTCTACTGCCAAAATCACTCAGAAACTAGAACAATCCTAGAAATTCCAGACAACCTGTATGAAGCTCTGAACTTAAAAGAAGACAATTTTAAGAGTTGAGACAGTTATTTCCTTTATAAAAAAACAATTACTATATTCAACTCAATTTAGACACTAAACTGTAATATTCTGTATGTTACATACTATTTTGTAACATTAGGTATTTAATACCTTTTCATTTTTCTTAAGCTAACAGTTAATAACCTGAACAGTTGAAAATATAACAAATAAAATACTCGTAAAATAAAATTATTATATATTCATCTAATACCTTTTTAAAAATATATTGTAGGTAGGTATTTGTTTTAATAAATTAACTATAAAACAGTTTTAAAAAGTTTAAAAAAAAAAAACAAGATAAGTATCACGATACTTTTTTAAGCAAAAGACTTATTATTTATTATGTGTTGTGCTATCAAAATAGAATAACCTCAACATTTTTCCCTCATTTATATTTTATAGGGTACCAATTCTATGAAGATTCAAACGTTTTAAATGTTTTTTACCGAATTCCCCGTGCCAGATGCAAGTTTGTTTTGATAAATTACCCATTTTTTAGTTTTAAATTTTGAGTTTTTTACTTAGCTGACAGCAGAGGAACCACGTTGTTATTAATACCTGTCACCTGTCCCTTGACTATTTGCGGAAAATTTCTAAGAAATCCTTTTTTTATGATCTATTCTTTTCAGTGTATTTTTCACCAAAAGTAGGTACTATGTTTCCACTTTCCTCAGAGATTCTACTTCCATTGAAGTTGAATAATTGACCAACACAACTAAAACGTTTTTGGTAGTTTCCTTTGTCTTTGGTATTTACTTTATTAGTATATATGCTCTGTTGGTTTTTTTTGATTAACTGGCTCCTTTTTATTTTTTACAAGCTAACTGTTCAATTTATTGAAATGGTTATTCAGCATTTAACATTTTACATTCCACTAATTTAAATTTGTATTCGCTCGGAGCTATATCCGAATTGCATATACATCGATACTTCTTGTTAAGGGATTTTAAAATATACAAAGACATTTTTTATTGGATTCTTTCGTCTACTTAAAGTTATTATTGTTAGTGTTTAAGATGCTTTGTAAACATATTATTTTGTCCCATTATTGTTATGCTTAATAATAACATAATTTTTGTGTTTAAAATGAACTATAATATTTATTAGAATAAAAACGAATACATTATAATGTATTATTCCATCAAATATGTTGCAACCGATATTTATATTGTAATGGATTGTACATAATATGTATTTATGTATGATGTACTCTACGTTATGCACACAATATTAAAGGCACCTAGGTATTTGCTTCGAAAATATTGTCGTTTAGAATATGATAATGTTAGGTTGGGATTTGATTTTGGAACCCATTTTATGTTTACAACCTCAGACTGTTTTGCTTTGTTATACCTTATGCATCAAGATGTCTGTTGTCTTTAGCCTAACACAGTTGGTCGTGTCCATTGTCCATTACAAATCACGGCCTACGAGAGAAAATGTTTTTGCCCTACATTGAAATTTGAATCTATATGCAGGTACCGAACAAGGATCTAAGATTTGTGTTGTACACTACTCGTACTTGTAAACAATTTCCTTCAGCAACTAAAGTAAACACGGGGGTATTCGGAAATATTTGATTATCCGAATTTCGTTATTTTATGCCATCGATTGGATAACATTATAACGTTCTCATACCATAGAATAAATATAATAACGGTACATACAGAGAATACATTTATATAAACTTTGTGATCGACAAATAAATAATTCAAATTATGAATGTTTAAAATAATTAAATAACTACTGTAAAAAAACCATTGCTAACTTTTAATATAATATTGTATATTTTATAAAAAAACAAATTGTTAGTATAGTTGATGCTAATGTAGAGTTTTTACAGGTGTTTTACATTTTAAATCAATATTACGAGCAATTAATGTTAGTTGTAGCACAACCTCTAAAATTACTATAATTAAAATTTTTACTGAAAAAGACAAGAACTCTACAAACATATAATTATTGAAGAAAGGATAAACACAACAACTTCGCTGGAATGGAAATAAACTCCTCTCAGCAGACTCCGTGGGAGAATGTGGAAATGGTTTTTGGTTACGGTTATTAGAATTATGCAGAACATAAAGGTTTTGCTAAATAACAGAGCATAAATGTAACTTGTGAAACATACAATGAAATAGTTGTGGCATAGCTTCGCCGGAGAACGTTAAACCGAAAAAAAATGTTTACTATATAGTATATAGCTCGGTCGCTTGTGTCGTTGTATCATTGTAAGTAGATAAAACTAGTCTTGGCAGGCCTTTGTAAATTATAAATCAATGATAAAACAATATTTCCTCTTAAAAAATCTGAAGAGAGCTTTTTTTGTATATGTCTTTCAAATTTTTTTTTTGTGAAAGTTAAATATTACTAATCATGTTTGTTAAATTGACAAACAATAGAGATGTTTATGGTCATTTTTTAAGTTTTCGATTGTCCCTAAAATAGGAAAACCAAAACAATTTACATAATTGAGAAAAATATAAAGTAATATATTAGCTACACAAAATTAATTTCTACAAATTATAAATACTAATCATTTCTATTGACACTAGGCATCGTAGTTGCAGTGATCGTCATAATTGGTCATTGTTATTATTTATTAGGATTATCAAATTTCATGAATACTTGCAAATATTACAATATTAAATTATAAATTATGCAACCATGGTGTAATATATTTCTGAAATCTCGATACCGTTATAACATCGTCAGTACAGAATGAAACAAATCAGTTTTAATAACTAAATACTAATATTGAGTATTTGAGTGATTGAGTGTAACTTTGCGATTACTATGCGCAAGTTATTAATTATTCTCAGGCAGATAATAACAAAATAATTATGATTATATTTCAGTACTTTTTCTATCTATTTCATAATAACAAGTTCTACTAAAATATATTTTTCATATTATTTACAGTACCTTAACGCATGATCTCTTAGCTGTCTGCTGTGTTTCAGGTCCTCTATATCAACTCCTCTAAATGGCATAAAAGATTGTTGAACGTCTGGATGTGTCTCGAAGAGGCTGAAAATAAAATAAAACATATGTATATATAAAGTTTAAGTCATTATTAGCACTCAATAATACACGGTGTAAATAATTGAGTAACATTCATAAAATCGAGATGTTTTTTTTATGATAAAATTCTTTTAAACTGGACTAACAATATTAAAATAAATAATAAGATCCCATGTTAACTTTACAATATACTTCAATGATTGCATATTAATATATTATTATAAAAAAGTGTTTTTGAGTGATCAGTCAACCTATATTATTTCCATGATATTGTATTTATTTACAATTATTAAAATAAATTGTATATTATATTATGAATAATAACAATAATATTATTTCATGCAATAATTAGGCATTCCTAATTAGAAATTTATAACTCATAGGTAAGTCAATACAGTGCAGTGGTAGAACGGTGTGAATATTTTCGTGGTATAAATATCTAAAAATTAATCTAAACATTTTCCATGGAAATTTATAGTTTAAGTAATAAATCAATGTTTCAAGTTTCCACGGTTAATATTTTTTGAATTACAACAAAGTATTAAACATCGTTATAGGAGAAATCGTCATTTTGAGTGTGAAAAACGTGTCGTCAACATTTGAAGTTCAATCACTCATAAAAAGTGAATGTAGCTTTATGCTAATTTTTTTTATAAATTTTAGTAAAATAAATATAATAAAAAGAATTTTGTATTTTTATTCAAGCCTTAGGTGTCTAAAAAGTTATGCATTTTTAACTTTAAGATTATTCATATATTATTTTATGATTTCGACAAATTGTATGAATATTTTAAATTGAAACAAAAAATATAATTTTTTTATCTATTTTGTTGGAATATTAATTCTTTACCTTCAATATATCATCATTTTTTCTATACAAAATATAATATTCTTGGTTATATTGTATTATATTGTACCCTATGACATGTTGGTATTGACTTTTAAGTTGAATTAACAATACCTAGGTACCTATGTAATTATGATATAATATTGTAATGATTATTCATATATGCAATAATTTTGGAATAAATTATTTCATCATACCGTATTACTTATCACCTAGGTATAGTAGTATAAATAAATTATAAAATACAGTGAGTATACAATATAGAAATAAACGCTAAAAAAGACTGTCACTGTCCCTTTCGGAATCGTTTTTCGTATACAATGATTCATCGATTCAAATTTAACACATTTATAATTCGGAGAGTAAATATGTAATATTTACTTACCTACTCAAAAACAGGTAAGTACACACACAACCATATATACCAGGGGTTCTCGAACTTGTATAGACACTATACATCTTTTTATCAATACAATTTTTGGGTACCATTTCTATGTTACTAAAATATATAAAAAAAATAAAGTAATATAATAAATAATAATAAACTAAAGTAAATTTGAAGGTTTGTTGGCTAGAATCGTCCCCCCTAAAAAAATTTTGAGTACCCCCAAAGGGTAAAAGCGCCACAGTTTGAGAACCACTGGTCTATACAACAAAATATCATCGAGCAACTTCCATAGTTTTTTTTTTATTTTAAAACAGTAAATCGTCGATTGTATGTTTGGTGGGTAATATTATCGTCATACAAAACAATTGAAGCGAAATATATTGTGAACAGTGAAGTCATGTGCATGTTCTGAACTAATTATCCGTTATAGCGATCAACCGATACCTATATTAATGCGGAGACTTTTACAGAAAATTAACAATGAAAATATAATGGTACACGCTCTTCTCGTCCTTACTTAAAATCTTGTGATTATTTTTTGATGATAAATGGTTGTCATTTAATATACTTTGGAACAACTTTTATACAATTTATGTGATGAAAGATGAATTATGGTATCCTCTGACAATGTCTACTCGCAACACTATTGTTATTTTGTATTTTCATGAAACTATTTTTAACAGATATCAATCATCTGTTCATTTATGCTTTTTTAGATGATGAAGATTAAACCAAAAGAGTAAAACAGACACAACATAATCATTATTTTGTGTTGTAACTACTTGTTTGAATAGTGATCGAAGGTATTGTTATTATATTGATAATTGATATAGTGCATTATAGACAAAAACGTGTAAAACATATTTAAAATTACTGTCTTATTAGTTATAATAAAAAAAATGATACTTAGTACGATTTTTACCTAACTACCTATAGACAAGAGTGATTCAAAAATTTAAATCAATGATAAAAAAAACCTATGTATGTATATATATATATATATATGTGTGTTTATACATGCAAATCTTTAATTTTCTAGTTGTTAAATTTAAAGTTACCCAGAGAGTCAACTTGTTGAATAATTATTTTACATTATAATTAAAAACCTCTCGTAATACAATATAATAATAATATAATATTTCGATATTAAATGATGGGAATACATATGTAGTAGCCCGAAATTGTCACTAATGTAGAACTATGAGTTTTAAACTTATTTTTATTTTATGTTGAAAAATATTCGTTTGTGTGTTTAATTGTACTCGTCTCCCGTAGTTATGGCGTTGAAATTATTTTTAAAAATGGTGTATTTTTTCCGATTGGGTTTTCAGATATTTTACTAGTAATGACATAATATTATATATATATTTTTTTAATTTTTAATTTTGAAAAATTATAAAAATATTGCACATTCAGTTATTACATTTGGTATGACTACATGAAATTATACTAATAATGTTCGTTAAAATACTGTAATAATTGTACTATTAAAACTTAACAGCTATAGAGTATTTTAACGAATATTATTTGATGAACATCGGTTAATATCAAATACTGTATTTTTCAACCGATATATTGGATTTCGTTTATATTGGCTTATGCACATCTGCTTTAATAAGTATTGAGTGTGTTATCGGTTATACATCGGAAACCAATTTTATTTGCAGCTTATCGGATATTGGAAAAAATAATATCGGCTCATAGATATATATTCAGTTTATCGCTTAATACGTTTTACCGTTATTAAAAACTTTGAAAGTTTAAACATTATATTTTTAAAGCTGGTGAACTAAATGCATTGCTCAATATTAAACATACTTAAACACATAAAATATAAATGCAATAGCATTTTTCAGTACCTACAATATAATGGGCGGGAATACCTACCTGTACATTTTTTTAATATGAGAAAGTTTAAAATGTTAACTGAAACATAAAATATGCAGTTTAAAAACATGAGTTGAAACAAAAAACATAAAAATGTATAGGGAATACCACTGTACCATGTGTATTTCAATATTTATGATATTGACTAGTAAGTATCAAAGATAAGAAAATTTCGGAGTAAGCAGTTACTTTAAAATGATAAACCATATTATTATTGTTCTACTTCGATTTAATATAGTCTATGTGTACAACTTATATCCTTATCAAAGTAAGTACCGATGTAACTTATGGAATATAGTCATTTTATTGAATAGTCTATATTTATTTATTAGAATGCTCAAACAATCATAATTTAAGTGATTAAATAATCGTGCCATATAATAAAATACGAACCTCTTTAAAAACAATAGGTACATTGTGTTTATAACTATCTCTCTCTAAAGCTTAGATAATATAAGTACCAAGTGTATAGTAATCCAATATTATCCTACATCTATATGTTGCTTTATCTTTTTTTAAGGAATACCTCTCGCGCTCGCCGGTTTTTTTAATACAACATATTATTTACTCGTGGTTTAATCACATATTACATAAATTATATAATATATTTTGTATATTCTATGATTTAGTGGTGAATCGATACAACGTTTGAAACAATAGTGATACTACAAAACTCAATTAGCATAGTATACAAGAGATAATACCACATTATTAATCGACGTTAAGTTACCTATTTTTATAAACACGACTAACATTAATGATATATTATACTGTTTCGGTGTTGAAAACCAAACATTATTGATCAGTATTTATCAAGTCAAATAATACCGTGGAAGTATATTCTATCCCGTATATTACAATCCAAACAGGAACGGTTCTCTAAACTTTATAAATTCTGACGCGGTCCCTATATAATACAGCGACCGCTCCTTATCACAACGCACACGCTACACCGACCACACCATACCCCGCCAGTCGATGCCAACCGAGTTCATAGGGAGAGTGAGTCGCTAGGAAATGTCGTATGCAACCAACTCGACCTGCACCGTCTCGTTTCACACATAATGTGACACAATATTATGTAGGTACATAATATAGTCGATTGTCGCATTATGGCATTTAACACTCACGCTTAACCGACCGAAGGAGGCGCATTTAGATTATGAGCCCCGGGGCTACATTTTGCCCCCCCCCCCCAACGAAAATGTCCATAACTCTTCTATGATATCTACTCTTCTCTATAATATACTATATTGCAAATATTTTGTGTATTTATAGTATTTTAGCCATTCAAGCTATCGTAGTCTATACTGCATATTATGTTTCATACATATATTGATAATATTAAATATATTTTGTAGAAAGCAAATAATAATATCTATAGATAAAAAATAATTCAAATGTTGTATGATGAATCATTATTATTTATTTGTGAATTATCTCCGGTCTCATTTATAATCGCCGTGACTATTCGGTGCAGCGATTGATAAAATGTTTAATAAATCACTCATCTGAATAACCCAACCGTGTTTTGTGTTCAGATCCATCCAGCGAATCATTAAAACCCACGTCAATTCCTTACAACTATTACTAACTGATGGTTCGAAATTTGATTTTTTTTTACATTAAGAAAAACTAAACATTTTAAATATAAAACTAAAAATTCATTTCAATATATAAAATACTAAGAGATATATAAATAAACTAAATTATAAAAATAGTAGAAAATGTCTTTTTTTTTTAAATAATGTTCTGTTGTAAGTACCTCAAATGATGAAAAAAAAAGTTTTTTTAAAAACAATTACCGAAAAATTGACTGTTTTTGTGATAAAAAAGTTATTTTTTAAACAAGTACAGTGACTTTAATATTCAATAGGTAGTATT